TGGATGTGCTTTAATGTCCCTCCCAACCCAAACCATTCCAGGATTCCATGGTTTCCCCTCAATTATTCCAGGCTTGAGCAGCTTTTCTTTGATTCCTGCCTGTTTATTTTCATGGAATTGTGGCACAGTTGGGCTTGGAAGGGACATTTCGAGGTCATTTTCCTTCCCTGGGGGCTCCAAAAGAGCTGGAGAGGGACTTTGGGACAAGGAGTGATGGGACAAGGGGTGAGGGGCTTCCAGTTGGAAGAGAGCAGGGATAGGTGGGATATTGGGAAGGAATTCCTCCCTGGGAGGGTGGGAAGGCCCTGGAATGGATTTCCCAGTGGCTGCCCCATCCCTGGAAGTGTCCAAGGCCGGGTTGGAGCCGCCTGGGACAGTGGAAGGTGTCCCTGCCATGGAACAGGGAGATCTTTCCCGCTCCCTTCCCGCCCAAACCATCCCAGCTCTGCCCATCCCGCCGGAGCCGGGAGGTGCTGCCGATCCCCAATTCCCAGCTGGATTTCCCAAACTTGGCTGAGGCCGCGGCCGTGACTCAACGCTCCGTGTTATCAAACCAGGGCTGCTCCGTTTGCTGACTCGGGGCCTCTCCCCTGGGAACTCGGGGAGAGAACTTCGGGATCGGTGTCATCCCGCCCACGGGAAGGGGGATAAAAAATCCCGACCACAATCTCCCAGGAAAACGTAACCACGGATTTGGTAACACCGGGGGAGGTGGGTCCCGCTGGGGACTGAACCTTATGCCCCTTATTTATGCTCTATTTATTGATTTATTGCCTATTCATTGATCATCTTGGCTCAATGTCCTCCCCATCCCTTCACTCTCACAGTGACCTATTGAGATATATTTTATTTTTATTGACATAAATTTCATTGATAAATTTGATTGACATGTGTTATTGACATGTATTTTAATTTTTTGATATTGATATATATTTTATTTAGGACATCTATTTTATTTGGGTCAAAAGCTGGGCTTGATGATCACGGAGGTCTTTTCCAACCTCAACAATTCTATGATTCCACGACTTTTTTTTAGCCTTATTTCTCCCTAATCCGCTCCCCTGGGTCCTCAGGGATCCACGCAGGTGCTGGGGGTGGGATGAGCGCCGGGAATGTCGTGTTTTCCAGTGGAAACGCCAGTTCAGCTGCACGGCCGGGTCCCGGAGGCGCTTTTGGGAACGGGTGTCTGGGCGATATTTTTAGAGGTGTTTAAACATCTGACGGTTCCAGAAGTTGCCGGTGTGGATTTTCCAGAAGCTCCTGATCCCGGGTGTCCTGTGGGAATTCCGAGAGCCAGACGGCTGCCAGCACGGTGAGGTGCCTCCAGAGCCGTGGCTTTGGCCTTCAACGTGCCTTTAAAACGTGGAAAAGTCATTAAAAAATGACAGTTCTTAATGAAAAAAGGGGGTTTCTCAATAAAAAGTGCAAAATGAGGCTCTTTGGTACTCGATAACCAAGGCAGAAGGGTGGATCAGGGATAGATCTTTGGATTCAATGACTAACAAAGGTTCTTTTCCACCCCAGTAATTCCCTGATTCTCTGAAGGGTGGTGGATTCCCCATCCCTGGAAGTGTCCAAGGCCGGGTTGGAGGGGCTTGGAGCAACCTGGTCTAGGGGAAGTTGGGGTTGGAATGAGGTGAGTTTGAAGGTCCCTTCCAAGCCAACCCACCCCATGATTCTCTGATGGATCAGTTTGAATCCACCCTCAGTCTGGGATTGGAACCAGAGGATCCCAACAAGCCCCTGCCTTTCCAAAATCTCCGTCTGCCGATGACGTATTTTCATAGAAACACCAAAATAGGCCCAAAAATGTTGTGAATCCTCCAGGAAAGTCCCCCCCGTGGCCTCGACCCTGCTCATCTCCATAACCCCACAAACCAGTTGAGCCCCATTAACTGCACTTCAACCCTTGCAGGGGGTGTGATGTGGGTTTTGGGATCCCTCCTCCCCTCCCAGAGCCGTCCCTCCGTCTGTGCCTGGAGTCTCCCCACGGCCCCGGAGAATCTCCTCCAGGGAATCCCGCAGGGATTTCCCAGCCGGGGCCGTTTCCTCAGCAGTGCTGAGATGATCTTGGCACGGAGGCGCCGGGACGCGCTCGGGTCCGACCGGGAACGTCTCTCATCACCGGGGAGGTTTTATTTACCCCAAAAAAAAAAATAAAAGAGAGACCCGGAGCCTCATCAAAATGCAATTTGCTGAGCCCCGGCTGGGAGGTTGAGAAACCCAATTCCCGGAGCCAAAGGCAATTTTCCAAGTGAAAAGGAGGCTGAGGGTGTAACTTAGGTGTGTTTTGGGAATTGTGAAAGCCCGGGCTGCGACTTGGCATCGGCTGCAGGTCTTGCCACGGGGCTTTGGAGTGAGAGATGGAAAGATAAACACGGGCAGGGGAACAACCATGATGGAGGAAAGGTGGGAAAAAGGCTCCTGGTGTATCCCGGGGAGGGTCCACTGCTCCTCAAGGCGCAGAATTCCCGGGTCAAGGAGCATTGGGAGCTCCAGCTGGACCTTTGTTGTGCCTTTTCTGCCGCGTTGGAGGGTGTGTTTCTGGGTAGGGTCAGTGTTTGGCAAATTGGAGATGGGAATCTGTGACCACGCCACGCTGATGAAGACAGGAGCTGTCTCCTCCTCACGCCCATGCAGACCCAGCCCACTCCGGGAGCACATAAAAGGAGCACCCGCTGCCCTCCAGCCAGAGGGACCGACTTCCCTTCTCCTTCCAGCCTCGCACCCCGTCCACCTGCTCAGCCTTCCCAGTTTTTTCGGCTCCCTTTGAGGAGAAACCAGGATGTCTCGCCAGTCCGTCTGCAGGAGCTTCGGAGGGGGGAGTCGGAGGGGCTTCAGCTCCTGCTCTGCCATGGGCGGGGGCTTCGGGGGCGGCGGCCGCAGCCGGAGCAGCTACAGCTCCTACTCCATGTCCAGGGGTTTCGGGGCCGGCGGGCGCTGCGGCGGCTTCGGCAGCAGGAGCCTCCACGGGCTGGGCGGCAGCTCCAGGATCTCCATGGGGGGATGTTATGGGGGCAGGATGGGCGGCTTCGGCGGCGGCTACGGGGGGCTCGGCAGCTTCGGGGGCGGGATGGGCGGCGGAGGAGGAGGAATGTGCGGCTTCGGAGGGATGGGAGGCGGCGGAATGGGCGGCGGGGGAGGAATGGGGGGCTTCGGCTCTGGGATGGGCGGCTACGGCGGCGGCATGGGCGGCTTTGGTGGCCCGGGCTTTAGTGGTCCAGGCTTTGCAATGGGTGGCCCGGGCAGAGCCGGCCCCGGGATCCAACCGGTGCAGATCGACTCGACCCTGCTCCGGCCCGTCCATGTGGAGATCGACCCCCAGATCCAGCAGGTGAAAACCCAGGAGAAGGAGCAGATCAAGACCCTGAACAACCAGTTCGCCTCCTTCATCGACAAGGTGAGAGGGCAAGGTGGAAACCAGGAGAGGTGGAAACCGGGAGGAACTTCCCCACCGGTGCAGAAACGTCCCTTTGGAGGTGAATCCCAGCCGGCTGAGGAGCTCGAGAGGAGCCTTCTCATTAAGGGCAGAGATGGGAATCTCTCCTCCCCAGGAGATCAAAGCCGTGTCTGCGGGGCTTTCATCTGCCCTGCTCTGAGGTTGCTCCTGAGAGCAGGTTCAACACCTCCAACCTCCGCAGGTTTCGGGCTCAGGTTCTCCCTCCTCCACCATCCTCTGCCCAAACAACCTCCCACTGAAGCATTCCTTTAGATCTTTGCTCTTCCTTTCCACATCTCCAGGCTTTTAAATCTAAGCCAGATTCCCACAGGGGACAGGCATGGAGTTGGGGCTGCGTTTAAAACCCCCTCTGAGCTGGAAATTATTAGGAATTCCCTCCTTTCCCTGATTTTGCTGCTCAGGCAAGCGCAGGGATTAGAAAACAAAAGTTAACTGGTTGTCTCATCACCATGCAAATCCCTCTGGGTGATGAAAGAGGCGTTGGCGGGACCTGTTCCCATGTGATGGAGGATCCTCCGTGTCCCGGTTTTAGGTCCCATTCCTGGAGCAGCAGAACAAGGAAAGCTAAAGGGAGAATTTAAGGATAATGGGGGAAAAAAAAGGAGAAAGAAAGAAGGAATTTTGCTCTTGGAAGCAATGTCCTGTTGGGAGTTTGGGGAATGATTTCCTTGGCCCCCCAGAGCTCCCAGGAGGTTTGGGCAGTGGGATGTTCCCCTCGGGAATGTCTCACACACCCTTGTTGGGTTTAGGTCTGGTTCCTGGAGCAGCAGGACAAGGAAAGCTAAAGGGAGAATTTAAGGATAATGAGGAAAAAAAGGAGAAAGAAAGGAGGAATTTTGCTCTTGGAAGCAATGTCCTGTTGGGGATTCAGGGAGTGATTCCCTTGGCCCCCCAGAGCTCCCAGGAGGTTTGAGCTCCTCATGCACTTGAGGAGCTCGGATACCTGGATGAGCCACAGCTGGGGGTTCAGGGAATGACTCCCTCGGGCTCCCAAAGCGCCCAGCAGCGGGATGTTCCCTCGGGAATGTCTCACACACCCTTTTCGGGTTTAGGTCCGATTCCTGGAGCAGCAGAACAAGGTGCTCTCCACCAAGTGGGAGCTGCTGCAGCAGCAGGGGCCGTCGGGGCCGAGGAAGGACCTGAGTGTGATCTTTGAGACCTACATCCAGAACCTGAGGAGGCAGCTGGACTCCATCCTGGCGCAGCGGGGGCAGCTGGAGTCGGAGCTGCAGAACATGCAGCAGTACGTCGAGGAGTTCAAGAGCAAGTGAGTTGCCACCACTCTCGGGCCGCCTCAAACAGCTCTTTGGGCACTTTTCCACCCCCAAACTCCTTTTTACGGTGATCCTGGGGGTGGTTTATCATCTAAATGTTTAATTTTAGGGGTTTTTAACCCCCCTTCGTCAGGAGAAGGCGGGAACTCAGCCTGTGCTTTTGCTCCCCGCAGGTACGAGGAGGAGATCAACCGGCGCACGACGGCCGAGAACGAGTTCGTGGTGCTGAAGAAGGTGAGTCACGGAAATAATCCCTCAATCCCCACCAGATAATCCCTCAACTCCCTTTAACTCCTCCTGGCAGGGACCTCCCAGGGCAATTTGTGGAGGATTTAGGGTCTGTGTGGGCCGAGAGTTGAAGTCCCTCATTTTAATTTGTGTCATTGAATGGCACCATAATGATATTATCTACTTTTAGTTATTTTTAGATATATATTTGTAAAATTATTTATCATAATATTATACCTTTTTAGTTATTTCTATATATATTTATAGAATTATCTATATATTTATAGAAATATCTAATATTTATAGAATTATTAGATAATAATGTTATCTAATTCCAATTACTTTATATATATTTATAGAATTATTTATAATAATGTTATCTAATCCCAATTACTTTATATATATTTATAGAATTATCTATAATAATGTTATCTCATTTCAATTACTTTACATACATTTATAGAATTACCTACAATAATATTATCATCTATTTTCAGTTATGCATATGTATTTATAGAATTACAAATATTAATATTATATCATTTTAGTTATTTTTCTAGATATATATCTAGAATGACACCATAATAATATCCCCTATTTTCAATTATTTATATATATAGAATTACATTTAATAATATTATCTATTTTCAGTTATAGATATTTCTGGAATTATATATAATAATATTATCTATTTTCAATTATTTATATATTTGTAGAATTACCTATAATAATATTATCTATTTTCAATTACATACATTTCTAGAATTCCATACATTTCTAGAATTCCATTTAGAATTCCATACATTTATAGAGTTCCATATGAACACAGACTATAGAATTCCACACATTTATGGAATTCCATATAAACACAGAATATAGAATTCCATATAAAATTACATAATTTATAGAATTCCATATAGAATTCCATACATTTATAAAATTCCATATAAACACAGACTATAGAATTCCATATAAAATTACATACATTCATAGAATTCCACATAAACACAGACTCTAGAATTCCCTATAAAGCCCCCGTGGGTAACCCCACACCCCCAGCTGGGCCTGCGGCTCCCGCGATCCCGAAAGATTCCCGAGAGTGAACGCGGCTGTTTTCCTGCGGGATCTCTCCTTTAGGACGTGGACTCGGCCTACATGACCAAGGTGGAGCTGGAGGCCAGGGTGGGAGCTCTGACCGACGAGATCAACTTCCTGAGGGCCATCTACGAGGAGGTAGGGGCTCTCCCCGGGAGCTCTCCCCAGGAGCTCTCCCTTCCCCTGGGCACAGCTTTAACGAGGGTGTGGTGGCCAAGGACACCGAGGCTGGGCTGGGTGTCCATTTAGGCTGGAGGCTGAGCTGTGCTGCCTCTCTCGGTCACAGGAGCTGGCCCAGATGCAAACCATCAGCCGGGACCTGTCCGTGGT